CCCCCCCCCCCCCCCCCCCCCCCCTCCTTAGCTCAAGGTCTGGATCCGCCACTGAGAAGCGCTGAGGGGACAAATTTCGAAAATGGCGGCTGCTGGTAACATCGAAGCGCCTGAATCTTCTTCCTCTGCTCCTGCCACTGAAAGCAATTTTATAAATTTTGGTCCAAGTGATTCAAAATCGGTCCATTTTTACAACAATAATAAAAGATATTTAGAGGGAAAGATTTTAAGGTAATTCCCTTGTTCTACTATCAAACTTTTTTTCAAGCTTGGCATAATTAACATTCATGATATGAACATTAAAAAAATGCAATAATAAAATGGGGTCACCGTGCTTGTTTACGCGTCAGTAGGCTCTTAAGGTGGCTCAAAACAGTTTCAAACACTTAGATTTTGATGGGTGGTTATAACCACTCTTTGTCACGTGATGCTACAATCATGGTATCAAAAGTTTGTCCAATCATTGGTGAACGCGTTGTTATCATTTTCGTGACACAATAGGTTGCCATAGCAACAGTATGACCTCTTAAAAACACCCTTAACAACAGAGCCACCATAAATTTTCGAAAATTTAAGGTGGCTCTGAACCCTATGTACAGAATGTTTTTAAACTTTGCCAAAAGTTGCGTCTTATCATACTTATCAAAAGTTGATAATAAAAAATTTCACGGTGCCGATTTTGAATTATAAGCCCCTAAAGCTGTAATTAAGGGTGTTTTCAGGAGGTCATACTTTTGCTATGGTAACTTATCGTGTCATGAAAGTGATAACAACGTGTTCATCAATGATTGGGCAGTCTTTTGATATCATGATTGTAGCATCAAGTGATAAAGAGTAGTTACAACGACCCATCAAAATGCTGGAAACTTTTTAAGGCTAGTGGGGCCGAGCAATTCAAACAACTGAAGCAAATAATCCAAGTCGAACTTAACATTGTTAAGAATCCCAACTGGCCGGAGGCAAACCAGTTGGCTATTTACAAGCGTGGCCGCTGGATTTGAACTCGGGGCTACTGTGAATCAAATCAAGGTAGTGGTTAGAGCGGAACTCGAACCCGTGACTGCTGAATTGCGAGTCCGACGCGCTGACCTTTCACTGAGTTTAGTTTACATGGAACAGTCAGAATATGGAAAAACACATAAGTGTAACTCAAACACATGATTCTTTGCTTCTTCTCAGTTTTGCAGGATTTGATGTTATGACACTAGCCAATAATCACTTGAACGACTTTGGTTCAGAAGGAGTCAACTTTACTGTTGACGTTCTTAAAAAGACGAGAGTGAAATATTTTGGCGTCACTTATGGCAAATATGACTCTTCTCAGGTACAATAATAAACTGGGTATCTTCGAGGCTATGTGAAGGAGGAGAGAGCTCAGGAGCGAGGCAGGTCTATTGCTAGACAATTAGCCACAATGGTCGGTACGTTACAGACCGCCAACCTGAGGTGTAATAAATTTTTCCCCTAACGTGCTCCAAGGTGATGTGCCTTGCTAAGTAAAAGCCCTGAATAAGTTTCGCGGGCTGCCGTTTGTCATAACTGACCCACCAGCAAACGGGCTGTAAGCAAAAGGACTAATTTCTGTTTGTTATGATAGTTCAGTCTTCCTTCTAATTTACAAGTTTTCTAACTCTCTCATTCTTTCTCGTATTACAGGAACCTTTGATACTGGAACGACGCGGAATAAAGATAGGGTTTCTTGGTTACTGTGATTCCATAACCGCGGCCATAGACAAAAACTGTACCGAAATGAGAATGTTGTTCAATTCTGGTCCTGCTCTTTACCGAGATGACATCGCCACAAGAGACTTCAACAAGCTAAAACAGGTGTTACTGCAGTTTTAAATCTTTAAAGGGAATCCTGGCTAAAAGAAAAGCAGTTTTGTTTCATATCATAATTTGGTGTTTGACTTAGATTATTTCAGCGATTTGAAGTAGATAATTCTTTACCTGTTACGAATGGTGGGCGTTTCGCTTCTGCTATTTTAGGATTTCTAATTTTCTGGGCGCCGCTATGTTTACTTTTGCAATGTTTAATGGGAGATTATGACGCCGAGTGCGCAGTTGAATACTTTTAAAATACCGCAATGCTTGAATCCAGAGATATAAAAGTGCTTGCAATCGTTGTAATTCACTTAAGTTTGAGTTGATTTGAAATATATTCTAAACGACATTTTGTTTTGTTGTTTCTTTCTTATTGAATTCCTCGTGCGCTAAGTTTCATAAGTTTGGCGGCACAATGCCGTACATCTTAGAATTCGTGATCAAAAGTTACGCAGCGCTCACTTGCCCTTGCTTAAAAGTGAAAATTAACTTTCAAAGTTCTTGAAGTTGGCAAAAATACCGCTTATGTCAACAACAGAGTTAAGGTCCAGTGAAAGTTGATTTGGCTTTGAAATCTCACTGGATGAGATGACGTCAGTTGAGAACACGCAACTCTGTTTACGTGTTACTTTTCAGGTCATAGTTGGGTGAACTATATCTTCTCATTGTCCCACACAGACCCTTAGAAGACTATGGTTGTGTTCACACTTGGTGCTCTAGCGCTGGTAGCTGGGCATCCACACAAAACAGTTATGTTTTTAGACACTGGGTATTCTAAGGACATACTTACAATTACCACTTAGCGCCCGGGTACAAGGTGGAGACCTTGTACCCGGGCATGGACACTGTGCTCGGATTCTGGTGTGAGAAAAGATGTGTTCACACTAGGTGCTCCGCGAGAATCGCACCAAGAAGGTACCAAGTGCAAACATAACCTATGTTCAAAGGGTGAACAATCTAGGAACCATTCTCTTTCTTTCTTTCTTTCTTTCTTTATGTTAGCCTATCAAAAAATACACAGAAGCTTACATTGGCAAAGGTGCTAAGAACGTACCCAAGCTGAGATTGACTTACAAAGTTTTCGTTCTGAGGTATGCAAGCACGTGGTTGCAACGTGGTAAAACCTGCAAGGTTTCCCGGGCATCTCTGGTTACGATAACTGATTTGAAATGCATTACCTTAAGAACATTTTAAGGCTCTTAGGTTCAAACCACCATAGTAAAAGTACAAAACGTTTTCATTAACAAAAAGTTTAGCTCGTTAACCTTACCAAGGGCGCAAAAAATTAACGTCAATCTTTTTTGTCAACTCCTAAAGGCTAAGGTAGACATCATAGTCGTCTTTATACACTATGGTCAAGAACGCTGCTTAGGCCCGCGTCCCTACCAGCATCGTATTAACAAACACCTGATGTCACTTGGTGCACACGTCATCATTGGATCACATCCTCACGTGCTACAACCACACTGTGTTACTGAAGACAACAAGGTGATAGCACACAGTCTGGGGAATTTCTTGTTTTACCCAAACCGTCCTATCGGTGGCGGCAATCCGGTAAGGTGTTCGTTTAGTTATCAATTCCCATACAAAAGGAACATTCTGAAAAAAAATCTTCAATCCTACTTTAAGAAAAAAGATGGCGACTGGTACATTTACCCATAATTCTAAGCGCACAAAAGCTTTAACAACGCTCACTAAAACATACAGAAACGTTCTGAAATCTTCAAACCTAGCATGCAAAATGTCGTTTGCACAACTAGGAGGGCAAATATTGCAAAAATATTACTTTCCTTGTACTTTATGGGCTGCGTAGGCTCCGCATGGTATTGTGGTAAAATGAACAGTCCCCATCGTTTTTCCTATGGAGGATTTTATAGCCAAGAAAATCATGGCAAAGTTACGAATTGGCCGGAAGGGAAATATCCCTTTCCTCACATCGACGAACAGACAGAATGAGTGCCGGTGACAAAGTCCCTTCCAAGTGATGTGTCAAATATAGTTACTTAACACACTGAACGCTGATCCGATATGCTGTTCACTTTTAACATGGTTCGGCCATGTATTTTCTGCGGGACAGTTTTAGTCTGTCCGTAATTTCCTTATCGCGACAACGACATGCTATTCTGGGTATTTTTGTCTATTGTTCATGGTCACGCGTTTTGCATGTGATATTGACCGATCCGCAAACATTTGGATTTGAGTTTCATCTGAGGTCATTACCATGTGCGTTTAGTAGACAATTGGTCCCCAAGCTGGTTGCCTTACTTTTTGCTGTTACACCGTGCTGACGAGACCAAACCAGGTCGAATCAGCTGTTCACGGTTGTAATTCTCGGCTTTCGTTTAGGACTCTATCATGTCGTTGTCGCGTTAAGTTGTCTATATGGCAGCCAGCACGATGAAGTAACAAACAAATATGGCAACCAGCACGCATGATTGCCAATCGTAGGCAAAGGTTCAGAACATTGCGAACAGGCAAAAGTTTTCCTTTACGTAGAAGATATTGTCAATCTCCTCCCAACCTTAGGATTAGAACAAACTTAAATCCCCGGGGGGAGTACTCCTAGAAAAATTGGGAGGGGTGTGAGGCCTGCCTCCCAAAACCCTTACCCTATTTAGCACAAAAATCTGTGACTTTCCCTACCCTATTTATGACCTGACCAAAAATTCGATGCCCTATGTAAGACCTGACCCTTAAATCAATACTCTGGTTCAGACATGCCTCATAATTAGTTCCCTAGTTCAGATCGATGCTAATGGCATTGTGACGGGCTGTTGTTGATGGTCTTATCGATAATGATGAAAAAAACAAGTAGCTTCTGTTAAAAAAAAACATACTCAATTCAAGAGTAGAATGCAAAAACCATCCCCTAGTTAAGACCAAAATGGCAAAAATCGATTCCCTTTTTCTGACCAAAACGGCTAAAAAACCATATAACTTGGGACTGCAACTACCTCCATAGCCCATATAAGGGAGTATCCCCCGGTATCCCCCCTCATGTGACTCTTGATTATTAGACTTTCTTATATATGATTGAACTCTGTTCCAAATGTTTAAGAAATGACACTTATTTTGGCTTGTACTTCTGATGTTAAAGATTTTGCCTTTACTTTGCCGCAGATGCTCTTCAATGTTCTATCGATCCCTTAGTTACTGTTATTGCTGTTCCTTTTTTCCAGGAAGTTTATGGACGTTTGGGTAACAAACCTGATAAACTCTTGATAGAATCCTACGAACACTTTGTACTTGAAAGCCCTGAGAATTTAAAAGCGTCCCGTATGCTGAAAGTTACCATCTCAAGGTGGATATAATATGAACTTATTGACTGAGTGAGAGGGCCGGACGGGAAAATATCTAGCTCGAAGTCAGGAGGTACGGACTGAGTACAGCGAAATTTTCCAGAGCGAGTGCCATATTTTCCTGTCCGGTTCTCTCACTTAGTCAATAAGTATATTTATCATACTACTTTTACCAAAGTTTGATTTTTTTGGAAAGTTGTGAAAAAGTGTTGAATGAATGGTCTGTACCTTACAGCTCAGCTCAGCTACAATATTCTTTTCAATCCACTATTTTCAGAATACTCAATGAACAGGGTAAAAGTTTATTGGAATTCTTAAATCTGTTTGTTGCTGAAGCCTGAAATATCTTTAGCCGCGCGGGTCTATCCAAAACAACCAAAGAACATTTCTTCTCACTTTTGAAGTTGCTCTATTTTGTTTTTCTTGTTTTAGGAGTGGCATTGTGGGAGCAAAATATCTGCCCCTGAAAGTCGCATTTGATCCGAAAACCAAGCGAATTCATCCTGAACCGAAAAAGAAAGCAAAATGGATTCTCGTCTGCGGAGTTGAAGATAAGCAATGCCAACCATGTCATAAGAGTTGAAAGGAGATAAAGAAAACCACAACGCCTGCCGTCTTTTTACAAGTTATTTTCTATTTCAATTTAATTACTGCAAGAGCCCTAAATACTGTACCTCTGATTTGAACCGTTTCGCTATTTGATCTTCATTTAATTCCCTTAAAAAAAAGTTAAGATTCATTAGCTTTCAATAATTAAGCTTGCGAGCAAGCTCTCTGGCTTGAAGACAAACTGCGAGCTAATACATCCTAGCTTATACCATCCAGGAGTTTTGCTTCAACATATCTACAACAAGCTGGCATCAGTGTGTAGAAGATCTTGCCTACCATCTTCCCATATCTAGCGCCTATCAAAATGTTGCAGACCGTTAATTTAAAGAAATATACAACTTTTTTAATGTTAAAGATGTTTGTCAGATTCTCGGCGGTTTCTCCATTCCAAACCATAAAGTCGCAGTCGAACCATACGGCCTGTCGAACTAAACAGACCTACGCTCGATATAAGATGGTAGATAAACATCGAGGTGCGTAGCGCCGAGCTGGCTATAATCATCTCATATTCAACGAGTCCGAGGGGAATAACTGTTTTATTAAAAACGCCCACCAAATATGAAAATGACAATGACGATGACAATGACAATCATAATTATAGTAATAGTAATAGTGATAGAGATAGTGACGATGAAAATGAAAATGATAATGAAAACGATAAGGATAATGATAATGATAACGATAACGATGATGATAAGGAATAACACGCAAACTGCGGTGATAAACATGGCAATTAAACGCATGTTAAAAAACAAAGTTCATTTACTTGACGTTTCGTATGTTTCAACATACATCTTCAGAAGTGATCGTTAGGAATAGAAGTAACAACTAAATTTCAATTTAAAATAAGTAACTAATTAACAATTACAATGACAGAAGCTGGGAAAAATTTGCATATAAACAATGCAAACTAATAAAGATAAAGCTTTTCGCTGCTTACATTATCATTTAGGGCGGGATTTAATTCCCTTATTAGCAGAGTCTCTTTTATCTTGCAATGTGTATCTGTCCGACCTTTTGCTAATATATCAAAGTGGTCCCATTTCAAGTTGTGACCAGTTGACGTGACGTGGTCCCCTTGCTTTTCATATCATACTATCTCACACGTATGGTTGCTTTCAGTTAACTTATTAACATTTCCTTATTTTATTTCATTTCATTTCATCTATTTTAATCTGTAATTGAGCTGGAGAGTGCTGTGTTATAGAGATCTCTCCCTCAATTTAACTACTAATATTAACATTTCATTTTCTTAAAATTATTCTATTGTTATACACACACACATTCCCACCCTCATATACACAGCATACCTATTTCCCCACTGATTTCTTATCAGTGGAGTGGGAACCCTGTTTTTGGGATTCCATTTTCAACACCTATAATGCCACAAAGGTTGCTAGTTTTACTACTGATAAATAAGTATATAAAACGAAAAATAAACATGGTTAAAGCGTTCGGATATTCTAAATTAATTTATAACGCGTCTGTTCTTGTCATACCTGAACATTTTATCACGGAAATTGAAAAACTAATTTTTGACTTTATTTGGGATGAGAAACCGGCAAAGATAAAAAAGTCAACTATCATAGAAGAGAAAAAACAAGGCGGACTCAAGATGATCGATTTTAATATTATGAATAAAGCATTAAACGTTGCTTGGATACCACGTGTACAATCCAGGTCTGACGCATCGTGGAAAATCATCTCTGAAGTCGCGTTTGAAAATCTTGGAGGAATATCATTTCTTTCACAATGCAACTACAACGTCAAGCTTTTGCAATTTAACAACCTTCCAGACTTCTGTAGCGACGTCTTAAAATATTGGCAAAACGCGAGGTCTGCTTTTCAAACGAATACTTCCCCCCGCAACGAAATAATGCGGAATAATCACAACATAATAAGAGATGGTAAAGCACCCTTTTATAAAAGCTGGCTAGAAAAAAACATTCTACGGGTTGACGATCTCCTCGACAATAGCGATAACTTCCTTCCTTTTAATCTTTTCTCTGAAAAATTTCATCTCGAAACCCCCTTCATTCTTTATTTTGGCTTAATTAATTCTGTGCCGGCCCCTTGGAAGCTAGCAATAAAAAGGACTCCCTCGCACGTAGCAGAAAATGAGAACAACACAACAAAAATTTCCACTAACAGTCTTTACTCTATTATGCTAAAAAATATCTTCTTATCCCCAACCGCTGAGAGAAAAATTATTAGATATGGTTTTACTCAAGATAATATTCCCAGGATGTACGAACTACCTTTCTAGATAAAAAGTGACATAAAAACAACAATGTTTCAATATAAGATGATTCATAATATTCTTCCAACAAAAGTCAGTTTTTTTAAAGCCAAGATATGTGATGATGACATATGCCCACAATGTCTTGCTGACAGGCATTCCTTAGATCATATGTTTTTGGGCTGTCAATTAACTTTATCCTTCTGGGACTTATTCCAAACATGGTGGATTAGCAAAACTAAAGAAAATGTAACATTAACAGAGAGCATGATTCTGTACGGAATTTTCAACAATAGAGAACACCTATACTCCTTGAATTACTCACTTCTCATAGCTTATAGTTATAGCTACTTCTTATACTCCATATATAGTAGCTGCTTACAAGAAAAAAAGCTTTGTTTTGACAGTTTCTCGCGCTTCTAAGAGAAAAAATCAATATACAACAGGAAATTGCTGTTCATCATGATAACAACATTACAAAGTTCAAGACTATATATAGATTTCTTTTGTGACTTTTTTATTTTTCGTCTTTTTTGCTTTACTTTTCTTGTCTTCTCTTTTTTTTTACGTTTACTAACCCACAGATTTATGTGAAGTTGTGAAGTAATTAGGTTAACAAAAAAAATATATTGTTAAGTAAGTAGATATTTATTACATGTTGTTAACTGTCTGTAAATTAAAATAATAATGATGATGATGATGATGATAATAATAATAATAATAATAATAATAATAAACAAACAAACAAAGATCAAAACACCCTCCATTTCTCTGAAGATCTTTCATGGCTCAACGTATATGTCGTGTAAAAACACGCACAACACTGCGTGCCGTGTTTGTGGCATTAATTGTAAAATTTCAGTCGGAAATAAGAACAACCAACGGAGCCATTTCCTTCGCCATAACGAAACTTTGATATATTAAACTCTTGCCAAAACCAGTTGGACGAACCGCCAAAACATCTTTTCCTTCGAGTAAACGAGAAACGGCCTCCTTTTGCTCGCGTTTCAACACCAATCCTCCAAGAAAAGAAGCAGAAAGACGATCAAAATCAAAACATTCTCCAGAAAATTCTCTTGAAATCGATACCATTTTGGCCTGAGCCGCGAAGTGATGAATGTCACTTTCTGTCACTCAAGTTGTCAACGCTCTGCTACGCTCTGATAAACTCTATTGTCCCTTCGACCAATCAGGTGTTGCCGTTGCTGGAGCAACTAACGCAGCGAACACCAGACAGAGGGAAGTTGTTACGGTCTCCCTATTTTTTCCGCACCGTCACCCCCACTCGCTCGCACCAAGAGACCAATATGGCGGTCCATCGAACTCAACGATCGACATCTACGATCTCACGGAAAAATAGGGGACTGTGAACAGTCTATTTTGCTTTCTATTTTTTCTTTTTCTCTATTTGCGGTTTACTTAATGGTTCGCTTGGACTATCTTTATTTTCTAATTGTAAAGACTCACAAGCTCACCTGCTAGAAGACAATCTCGTTCGCTTTTTCAACCCTGACAAAACGGTCTCGCGAGTAGACGCAAGTTAAAAAGTTGGGTCTACTTGCGATTCCGTTTGGACAGGCCTTGCGTACACTGGCGATGACTTATGCTCACTTTGGTCGAGGTCAAATTTGCACGCGAGTCGACGTAAGTTCTTGACGGTTTGGCCGCCCAACCCAAGTCAACGCAAGTTGAATGACGTCCATTCGTTATTACAGCAACCTATCAGCCAGTGAAATACGGGATATGTCTGTCATTTTGGCCACGCGGAACAAAGCCTGTAGCCTTGAGATGGTTGTTTTTTCGACTTGCGTGTATTTGCGAGGAAACTTGCGAGTCCCTTTGGCCACCCAACGCAAGTGTCTACGCAAGTTCAACTTGCGACGACTTGCGACTACTTGCGAGTCCGTTTGGCATGGCCAGGGCTTTAAACTTTTCATTTCGTAAATGAGACAGCGGACGAGCTCAGCAACCATGACGTACCGCCCCTGTGTATTTTTAACAGATCTTAACAGGTACTTGAATTCAATGAATGTTACTGAGGTTATTGCTAGACTACTTGTGCAAATAAACAAACGAAATGTTGGTTTTTGGTTTAACATTTAGTGTTGAAAAATTTGCTACAGTTGAAACAATATACGACTCGAGTAGGCTATGTTTAAAAAT